GTCCGGCCTCGGCGATGTAGAGGTCAGTGCGCCATACTACAACTGCAATTCTTACTCCACTTGGTTTCATAGCAAGATCTAACTGTGACACTGCAGGTCTAAAGTGGAGACAACAAGGTGCAGGGCTGGATGAACACAGCAGGCCAAGCAGCATCACAGGAGCAGAGAGGGTCTAAAGTGGAAATCATTTCACACTGACATTCAGACTTGCATTGTAATTAATCAAGAATCTGAACATCCCTGAAATGCATTTATTTTCAGTTGAAGTATCCCATTTTCAGTCTGAGCTCTGCAGAAATTTGGAAATCAAGTGCAAAGTTACCATCACCTAGTCTGTCATTGTATTGCTATCACCATTTCTATCATCAAGTGAAGATTGGTACAAATACAGTTCAATAAATCTGCCAGCTCCTTATTTTCCTTGATTAATTCTCCAAACTCACTCACTATTGCCCCAATGCTCACTTATTAATTCTCTTTAATTTTAATCTTTCACAGAATGTGGACATCACTGCCTGGGCTAGCATTTGTTGCCCATCCCTACTTGACGTGAACTTGCTAGGCCCTTTTAGAGAGCAGTTAAGAGTCTTGAGTCACATGTAGACCAGGGTAAGGATGGCAGACTTCCTTACCTAAAAGACATTATTGAACGAGCTGGGATTTTATGACAATTGGCAATGGTTGTATCACTCCAGATTTTTTTTGAATTCGGATTCCACCTTTGCCATAGTGGAATTTGAACCCAAGTCCTCAGAACATTACTTGCATCTCTGGATTACTAGTTCAACAACAATATCACAATGCAGCCTCCCTCTTTTTATACATCCGTAAAATCTCTTACTATATTTTTATATTTCTCTCTGGCTTTCTGTAGTATTCTAATGTTTTCCTCCTTGTAATTCTTTCAGTCAGTCTTTTCTATATTCTGTTCAATTTCCTCATCTGCCACTCATCTTTGGGTAATGATTTGTATTTTCTTTATATTTGATAGTATCACTAACTTCATTAGTTAATCACATATGGTGGTCCTCATTATTCATTCTTGTTGGAATGTATCTATACTGTGTATTCCAAAATATTCTATTAAATGTCTGCCACAGCATCTTTATCGACCTATCCCTTAACCTGCAGTTCTGACAAAGAGTAACTGGACTCAAAACATTAACTCTGTTTTCTTCCCACAGATGCTGCCAGACCTTCTGAGTCTTTCCAGCAATTTCTGTTTTTGTTCCTTAACCTAATTTGCCAGTTCACTTATCTAATTCTAATTTTATGTCCTCATTATTGCCCTTGTTTAAGTTTACAATATTAGTCTTGAAACTACCCTACTGTCCTTCAAATTGAAAGTAAAGTTCAATTATATTATGATCACTGCTACCTAGAATTCTCTTCACAATGTGGTTATTGATTAATCTTAACTTTTTGAATAATGCCAAGTCCAGTTAAAATCGCAAGAGCAAGCTGTTATAAGAATCTATCTTGAAAAGATTCTCTTTAACTTTTTAACTCCTTGCTACTTTTGCCCATCTAATTTTTTTCAGTCTTTATGTAGATTAATTTCTCCCATGATTAATTGAAATGTGGAAAAGACAGTAGCCAGTCTAATGAAATCCTTGAGACACTAAGACGATGAGGCTAGATAATCTGTTTTAGTGATATGGATTAATGGATAAATGAGTCTTCTGTGTGCACTTAAAAGAGTGTATGTGGTGAATATTTCTTCCGACAGACAACAATTTTGAATGCACAGTGTATTATATTGGAGTGCCAGTCCAGAGTTTATGATAAAATCTCTGAAATGGGCCCTAGATCCACAACTTTTTGCCTCTAAAGTGAAAATCTAACTAACTAGACCACAGCTGACCCTGAAGTTTATCTTCTGGAGAAATTGATATTATTAATAGATCACAGAACTATTTCTAAGTAATTTAAGTATTAAATTTGAAGTATACACTATCATAAACCAATTTACTAGAGAGCTTTTACATATAATAAAATTGGCGTTTTGATCATTGTGTAACTTGTGGAATGTGTTCTGATTTTCTACATATCAAAATGCCATTATTGAAATAATTTTATAAGGTTGTTATTTTCACTACATCCAATTTAAGCATAATTTTTTATATTAATCTAGTTAGGTTGCATGACTTTTATTGACATTTTGCAGCGTACCTGCTCTGTCACTTTCCATTTTATCTTTTGAACTGCTTTTACACAGGTGCTGCGGAGGCTGCTTCCACTTCGTCCTCTTCTTCCTCTTCCAGTTTTGTGAATGGTGCAACCAGCAAAAATCTTCCTGCAGTACAAACAGTTGCTCCAATGCCAGAGGATTCTGCTGAAAATATGAGGTTAAATTCAGTCTTTCTTTTCTATCCTCTCACATTTCATTCTTTTCTGATACAAGTTTATATGGTATTAAATTAAAACTAATTGAAAAACATCTTTGGTTTAAGTAGGTAAAAACATTGTCAGTCATCGTAAAGGAGCCTCTAGGTGACAATGATCTTAACGTAATAGAATTTCATATTCTGTTTGATAGGGAGAAAAATGGGTCTGTGATTAGCTCTTAAGAACTAAATAAAGGTAACTGAAGGTATGAAGGCACAGCTGGCCAATGAGAGCTAGAAAATTGGGTTAAGAGGTAGGTCAGGAGAGTTATGGAGGAATATTTCGAAGAGGATATTTAATAATTGGCAGAAAAGGTTTAGCCCAGTGAGAAAGAAAAGCTCTTTTTGAGGAGGATGCATTGTCCATGGCTGCAAAGATTAACATTAGGTTTGAAGATTAGGCAGACTTTAAGGAAAAGGAAAGACTAAACACTTAAAGAGGTAGAGAGCAGAATATGGAAGAAAGCTAACTAGTAATATTTTAAATATTAGGAAGCATTTATGCAAACATTTGAATATAGAATGGGTAACTAAAGCTACCCAAGTCCTCTAGAGAGGATTCTGGAGAACACATAATGGAAGACAAAGAAATGTCAGAGGTTTTGAACAGGTATTTTTGTTATTTTCATGGTATAAGACTTGGAAAACTATTCAAAGTTAATTGAAAAATCAAGAGGTAACAGTAAGGGATGAACTCCATACTATCAACATCACCAGGGAAAAGTGCTAAGAAGGTTATAGGTTATAAAAGCTATCAGGACCTTAGGACTGGATGACCTATATCCCTGGGTCTTGAAAGACATGGCTGCACAGATAGTAGACGTTAGTTCTAATCAGATAAGATTATATTATCAAATAAGCAGATTAGAAAACAACAAATGGAATATATTTATTCAAGAAAGGAGAGAGGCAGAAAACAGATAACCGAAGGCCAGTTATCCTAGCATCTGTCATTGGAAAGGTGCTAGTGGTAGTGAAACCACATATGGAGGCAGTGTCTTTTCAGGAGAGGTTGGGTACATTGGTCCTGTACTCATTGAAATTTGGCATAATATGAGACAACCTTATGGAAAAGATGTGGAAAGTTTGGTTTCCCTTTGTGGGACAGTCTAGGACCAGAAGGCATTATCTTAGAATAAGGAATCACACATTTAAGACAGAAATGTGTAAAAATTTCTTCTCCAACAGGGTACTGATTCTGCAGAACTCTTTACTAGCCAGAGGGTTATTGAGGCTGGATCATTGAGTATATCCAAGGTTGAGATGAACACATTTTTAATCAGTAGAGTATCAAAGGTTATGGGGAAAAGGCAGGAAAGTGGAATTGAGGATTATGAGATCAGCCATGATCTCATCGAATGCTAGAACAGAATTGATTGGTTGAATGGCCTACTTCTACTACGGCTTAGGGCTTTATGAGAGGAAGACATTATAGAAGCATTTTTAAAAATCATGATGTAATCAGTCAGAGACAATATGGCTTTGGGAAAGGGAAATTGTGCTCAATCTATTAGATCTTTTCAACTAAGGAGGAGTCATGGTGGATAGAGGAGAACCAGCAGATGCGGTGTACTTGGATTTCCATTTGATAAGATGCCACATCAAAGGTTGCTACACAGAATAAGTGCACACAGTGTAGGAAATAACATATTAGCATGGATAAAAGATTGGTTGGTTAATAGAAAGCAGACAGTAATGATACATCAGTAATTTTGGTTGGCGAGCTTTAGCTAGTGAAGTGCCATGGGGATCAGTGCTGAGTGCGCAATTATTTACAAACTGTATTAATGATTTGGATGAGAACTCCACATGTATCGTTGCTAAATTGGTCAGTGACACCCAGATAGGTAGGGAAAATATAATTGTCAGGAGGAGATTGCAAGGGCTATAGACAAGTTAAGTGAATGGGCAAACATTTGACAGTTGGAGTGTGCATACCATGAGTAAATGTGAACTTATCCATTTTGAAGAATAGAAAAACTATACTATTTCAATAAAGGCAGGTTTCTATCTGGTGTACAGAGGGCTCTGGACTCCTGGTGCATGAATCACAGCAAGTTAGTCTGCAAGTACAGCAGGTGATTTAGAAGGTGAATGGAATTTTCTTGTTGATTGCAAGCAGAATGGAAATTAATAGTAATAGTGAAGTATTGTTGCAGTTGTATAGGAAATTGGTGAAACCACACTTAGGGTATGTGTTATGATTAATTTTGGTCTCCTAATTTTGGAAAAAGATGTAATTTCTGTTGAAGAAGCTCAGAGTAGGTTTTTGATTCGGTTCTGGAATGAAGGCCTTATTTTATGAAAAAAGGTTGACCAGGTTAAGTCTATATCATTGTATTATAAAAAATAAGAGCTAGGTTTATTAAAATGTATAAAATATTGACATGGCTTGATACGTTTGTTACTGGGAATATGTTTCTTCTTGTTGGGAAAGCCAAAACTAGGGGATATAGATTAAGAATAAGAGGCCGCTTTAAGGCAGAGATGAGAAAATGTTCTTTTTCTCAGACAGTTCTTAGAATATGGGATTCTATTACCCAAAAAGTAGTGGAGACTACCTAAATTTATTCGAGGCTGAATTAGATAGAATTTTGATAGGTAAAGTAGTTGAGGGTTACAGGGTACAGACAGAAAAGTAGAGCTGAGACCATGACCAAATCAGTCGTAATCTGATTGAATGGTGGAATAGCCTTGAAATGCTGAATAATCTACTCCTGTTTTTACTTTCTTGAATGTTACTGATCTACATAGATCCTGAAAATTTTAGGTTTCGACGCTAATTTTTGCTTTGTTAATTATTTCAGTTCTGGTAGAAGCATGGCATGCGGTTGATCCCAAAGGGAAAGGAACTTAAATCAAGTTTGCTCATTGATATCCAATGGTCCTGATTTGAAAAAGACTGACAAAATTGAGGAATTCAGCTTTGTTTTCTCCCTCCTACTACTCCCAGAATTGCATTACATCTTCAGAGCATGTTGCCTAGCCTACCCTAATTAGTTTAGGCACTTAAGAGTAATACAGGAATAAGTTAATTTTCAATGGAAGAGGAAAAAAAAGTGTTTTTGTAAGCACCTATGATTTTATATCTTGTATTATTCATACTGTATATACATTAAGCTGTGAACTCTTGATTCAAGTAGAATTCTGGAGGTAAAAGTAAAGTAATTCCAATCAGCAAAAACATTTCAAATTACAGTTCAGAACTTTCATAGTATAAATTTCCAAGTAGATTGGCTTAGTGTTGAGAGAGTTTAGTACTCCAGTAGTTGAGGTGAATAGCATAGATGCATTTCGATGGAAGCCAGTTAAGTGCTCATGGAAAAAAAGAATATAAGAGTATGCTGATGGGGTGAACTGAGAAGGTGGGTTATCTCCTTCTTTAAACCAGTACTGCTACCTGAACATTAAGATATCTATCTGCTGTATCTCATGTTATAATTGTCTGTACATTCACTGCCCCTGAGGCTGCAAGTTCCTTATATCTAAGTAAGTCTCTTCAACCCCTTATATGTTTTAACATTACTAGATCTCCATCTGTCTTGTAGACTATCAAAACAATTCTCCTGTTAGTGTGTAAGTCCTCATTCTTTACATGCTTGTTCCAGACTGGTATATTCTCTTTTACTGATGTCAGAGTCATCTGATCACTTACATCATAATGATTTACATGCGTCTTATCACATGACAGAAGGTTATTATAAAGCATGAACTAGTTGAATTGAATAACATGTTAATGTGTTATAATATATGTAATTCTGCAGTTTCATGCAATTTTATAAGACTCAAAACCTGTTCCTTTTATTTCTAAATAGCATCACAGCCAAACTTGAACGAGCCCTGGAAAAGGTTGCTCCTCTGTTACGTGAGATTTTTGTGGACTTTGCTCCATTTCTTTCCAGAACTCTGTTGGGCAGCCATGGTCAAGAATTGTTGATCGAAGGTACAGGTGCTGTATAGTTAACTTTTATCTACCTGGTGTCTATGTAACCTTTCTGACAAGTAGTTGAAGCATGGTTGCTGACATTTGCAATTTATACGGGAAAATTATTCTAAACCTTTTGGATAAATGTGTGGTAATTTACTTTTAAAGTAAAACTATTTTTTTTTCTTTTGTTAAGATAGTAGATCATGTTTTACACCTTCTTTTGCATCTTCAGACACTAAAATGCTTGTACCTAATTCATTCGGAATCTGTGATTCTGTAATTATTCCAAATATTGAAAGTTTTGGTGGAATTTTTTTTAACCTGAATAACGGCTTTGAATTTTGATTAATTTTTTTATTGAGTTATACATTTTTAATTAAAATGTACCTTTTAAATCTTTAATACTTGTGTAATTCTGACGTTAGGTACAATAAAGTGAGTCTTCAAAAAATGTAAATACTTGTTAATCCTAAAAATGTATTTGGAAACCGAATCTCCACAAGTTATTTAAAACTCATAATGCTGATTTTTTACTCTCTCATTCCTGTCAGAGTTTTCCATTCACAGGTATAATACTATCTCTTTGTTCAACTACAAAGTGTGACAAATACAAGGGATGGAGGAAGTAGACATAGTTTTGAGAATAAATGTCACATGACGAAATGTGTGAATGATGTCTTGCATTATCACACATTGTGGTGCCATCAAAACCTAGTCATGATTGTGCCTATTTTTTTGTGGTGAGTTAGAGCTAGGGTCATTATGCAGTTTGAAATGTACTCTCTCGTTGATGGCACTGCTTGTGTGAAAGGAAAAGGCCAAGTAAGTATCCTCGAGATCACCAGAGGGAATGACTTCTGTGGTGGTAAGCATTGGCTGGAAATGTTCTGTTTCAAAATTGATAAGTAAAGGTGCAATATGATGATAGCTGTCTGACCAAACTAGATAATGGAACAGAAGCCTGAAGTCAGACCATGTCAAAGGCTGTAGGAAAATAAAGAGGAAATATTAACTATGGTCACAGGAGCAGCATATGTTGTCAGTGATTTTACTCCAGACTTCTTATGTGGAAGTAATATAAAAACTAATAATATGTTTTTATCAAAACTAGGAGATGAGGGCCCATGAAAGGCAGATGATAGTGGAATAGATAAAACTAATCAGTCTAAGCTTGGATCAACTCGTGTGGCTTGTTGTGTGAGATGTTGAACTAAAGCCCCATTCATTTCTTCGGTTAAGTATAAAAGATCCCATAGCAATATTTTGAAGGAGAACAGGGGAATTACCCCAATGTGCTAACCGATATTTAATCCTTCGATCAACACAAAAAACGTTACCTGGTCATTGTCATGCCGTTTATAAGAGTTATCTAAGTGCAACTTATTGTCACAAAAAATGTTTCCTGTAAGTTGTGGCTCCAATGTTCTACACTTAGCGATCGGCATGCTAATTGTGGCATCGAATTTCTATTCTGGAAGGGGCTGCCGAGCAAGGACCTCAGATGCTCGTGCAACCAGTAAGAAAATTAGAGGGAACTCTGTGGTCACAGCTCACAGGGGAGCGTGATGGAAATCAAGCCCCATTATTCCTGGAGTCATCACAAATATGAAAATGTTTAATTAAATTATCAAAAGCCAGCAAGTAATATAAAAGAAGTTTGTAAGAATGTTTTCTTTAGATATCAGAAAGGTAAGAGAGGGGTAAGAATGGATATTAGACTCCTGGAAAATGATGCTGGAGAAGTAGTAATGGGGAACAAGAAATGGCAGAGGAACTGTTAGAGACCTTTCATCAGTCCTCATTATGGAAGACACAATGAGCACCTCTGTTACGTGAGATTTTTGTGGACTTTGCTCCATTTCTTTCAAGAACCCTATTGGGCAGCCATGGTCAAGAAGACACAATGGCTGCTTTGCAATGAGACCGACGCCAACAGTGTGGGCTCAATTCCTGCAACAGCTGAGGTTACCATACAGAACTCTGTCTCAACCTTTTCCACTTGCCTGAGGCATGGTGACTACCAGTCATAGTAGTCACCACCAGTTGTTTCTTTCTAACGAGAGAGTGGCCCAGTGGTTTGCTAGAACTATGGCAAAAAAGGAAATGAACAGCAGGAGTTTCCTCAAATGTATAAAAAGGAAAAGAGTGACCAAAGTGAATGTAGCTTGCTTAGAGTTTGAGTCTGTAAAAATAATAATGGGGAACAAGGAAATATCTAAGGAGTTTGATAAATATTTTACATCAGTAGAATATGCTAATAGCATTCCAAAAATACCAAATCATCAATTATCACTCTAGAAAGAAAACACTGTACTAGAGAAACTAAAGGGGCTAAATGCCAGTAGTGCCCTGGACCTGATGAGTTTTATCCTATGATTTTCAAGGAAGTAGCTACTGAGATATTGGATGCACAGGTGTTAATTTGACAAGAATCCTTAGATTCTGGATAAGTTCCAGAGGATTAAAAAACAATCTATGTAACACCCTGATTCAGGAAGGGTGACAAAATTTAATAGGTTAACTATAGGCCAGTTAGTTTATCATCTATCTTCGGGATAATATTAGAGTATGTTATAAAGGACATGATAGTAGAACAATTTGAAATAGATAAAGTCATAGAGATGTACAGCATGGAAATGGACGTTTCAGTCCAACGCATCCATGCCGACCAGATATCCTACATAAATCTAGTCCCATTTGCCGACATTTGGCCCATATCCCTGTAAACCGTTCCTAGCCATATACCCATTCAGATGCCTTTTAAATATTGTAATTGTACCAGCCTCCACCACTTCCTCTGGCAGCTCATTTCATACACGTGCCACCCTCTGCATGAAAAAGTTGCTGCTTAGGTCCCTTTTATCTTAGATAAACTCCGATGTCCAAAGGTACTTGAAATCAAACAGCAGAGGCAGCAACTGTGAAGGTTCACTGCTGGGTCAGACAGCAGTGTAGGTTTCTTTCTCCATTGATTCACTTCCACCATGTGGTCACTGCTTTTGTCTCATTTCCTCCTTTTTTAAAGTGCTGTTGTTTTGATTTCTTTCCCCCCAAAGTTCCAAAACAATGCAGCAGTTTATAAAGCAGTAATTACTGCTCCAACACTGAAAATACCTCAAAAAAGGAGCAGCTCTTACAGATACAATTCTTTCCCATCCTCTATCTTGGATGATATAATAAAGCAGAGTTGGCATGACTTCATGAAGGGGAAACCATGTCTGAAATCATGTTCAAAAGGATGAATGGCCTATTTCTGCTCCTATTTTCTGTGCCTTCTTCGAGCATGTTTACAATTCTTTATGGATAAAGTGTAAGCAGTAGAAGTAATATTTTGGTTTTCCAGAAGGCTTTTGATAGGTTATCATACATATGGCTTCTTAATAAGACATGCAGCCATGCTGCTAGCAATACTATATTAGCGTAGATAGAGGACTGGTTTCCAAATAATAAAGTAGAATTTTCTTCTGAGACAGGGTTGAGTTGGTCTGGCGTATAATCATTGGAGTTTAGAAAAGTGAGAGGAGGCCTAATTCTTATAAGATTCTTATGCCACTTGGCAGTGTCGTGATTCATTGGGGTAATGTGCTGGAAATCAAGCCTCGCTATTCCTGGATTTGTCAGAAAAGTTAAACATGTTAAAATAACAAAGAACAGTACAGCATAGGAACAGGCCCTATGGCCCACCAAGCTTAGAATCCCTACAGTGTGGAAGCAGGCCACACCGACTCTTCAAAGAGCATCCCACCCAGACTACACCCCTACTGTATCTCTGTAATCTTGCAATCCTCATGGCTAATCCACCTAGCCTGCACATCCCTGGACACTCTGGGCAATTTAGCACAGTCAATCTGCCTTTGGACTGTGGGAGGAAACCAGAGAACTGGGAAGAAACCCACACAGACATGGGGACAATTTGCGAACGCAACACAGTTGCCAAAAGTGGAAACGAACCTGGGTCCCTGGCGCTGAGAGGTAGCAGCGCTAACTACTGAGCCACCCTGCCACCCTGCACCGATGCATGATGCCTTGCTAATCTAAAAACTTATTGCCTGTACATAATTTTGTCCAATGTTTCTCAGCCTGTCTGGACTTGATCTCATGAGTAGGCTGACAGAACAAATATCCATCTCTGCTGGCGTGCTGCTGCCATTGACGGTATCCTATATACAGCCCAAAAATGAAGGTTAGACATCCGTAGTCTGTAGTGTGAAGTGCCTGCCTTAAAGGAAATGGGTAAACTTCTTATTGCCAAACATGGTTCTCATTCCTTTTTCGACTAGAGCATAATTCTGCTGTGTCTTCATTAGTGACCTTGACGTAAATGCGATGGGCCTTTTCTCTCCATTCAGTAAGATATGCAACAGAACAGCGCCAACCCCATAAGACAAAACATCACATGCTAACTATAGTGGCAACTTTGGGTCAAAATGCCTTAACACCTCCGACCGTTGTAGAGCTTGCTTCACCTTCCAGTCAGCCACCTCATATTCCTGGGTCCATTTCCATATCCGCCCTTTTCCCAGCGATCGATGCTGGCATTTTGGCATGGTTGCCAGATCAGACACGAACTTGCCATGGTAACTTACAAGTCCCAAGAACGATCTCACTTGAGACACATTCTCTGGTCTAGGGGTCTTCCTGATAGCCTACATCTTCTTAGGCATCTTGTGTAATACCTTGCCATCGATTACATAGCCCAAGTACTCTATGGAGACTTTTCTCTATTTATTTGTAGGCCATGCTCCTGCAATCTTTTTAGGGTGACTTCTAAATTTTTCACTGCTGCTCTTGGAGGATCCAGTAATCAAAATTTTGTCTAAAAAGCACTGGACTCCTGGCAACCTACTTAAGATTTGATCCTTGGCCCTCTGAAACAAAAGTGATACTGCAGTGATGCCAAAAGGAAATAGCTTATAGAGAGAGAGTCCCTTGCGTATCACTGTTGTCAGCAATGCCTGGGACTCCTTTGTGTTAACCAACTTTATAGAAATACTTAACAAAATAATTTATTATTT